GTCCATGTGTATTTTAACATAGGTTAAAAAAGCATTCCTTCTGTTTCTGTATTTTAATTCACATTAATATGAAAACAATATAGACAGGGTCTGCATCTGAATATATGCAGGTGAATGTAAATAAAAAGAAATGAGGGAAAAAAGAATTACAGAATAAAAATATTATTCATTTAGAAAAAAACATTCACCTTTAAAGAGAAGAATAGAATAACGAAAAGATGTGGATCATAGAAAGAAAAATAAAATAATGCATCTTCTTTTACTTGTGAAAGGAAAATAACACTGGCATTGTTCACTGCTGACAATAAATAAACAATGTGCCTGCAGGAGCTTTTAAATTTATTTCTGAACTATTTACAAAAGCTTTGTAAAAAAATTTCCTTTTAGAAGTGAAGAGTTATTTTGGTCAACAATTCACATTGCAATTTGAGAGGTGTCTGAAAGTTCCTTCATCTTTCCCCTAGAATATTTGTCTTTTTTATGGCTTTAGCCCATTAAATAAAACAGGAGTAAATTGTAGGAATGAATACAATGCTTTATATTTAAACCCTAAAGCAAATACACAATAAAGTACAGGACTTATTTTTCCTTTCTCCCATGGTAAGACAATAACCTGGAGCTCCTTACTGAGGCTGTTAAGCTTCATCATGCTTCCCGTGTGAGTAGTGAGGCCAGGCAGAGATTACTTAGGTTGAGCTCAGCCCTCTTGGGCTCAATAACTTGGCAAATTCTGCTGATTATTTTTGCCGAGTGTAAAAGAGCATCTGGCAAGACAATGAGATGCCTTCACCCTGCTTTTTCCCAGATGTGGATTGGAGCATTGAGTAAATTCATGTATACTGTACATGGCCACAATGGTGGGGTAAAATCCACTTAAAATGAGGTGTGTATAGTTTACAAACTAAATTGCACATAAACATGTATTATAGTGCTCATCTACTGCATGATCCTACAGTTATGTACATAGTACATTTGAAAATTTCAAGATAATGGAACTTCCGCCTCTTTAAACAAATGGAACTTACTTTGACTTTCAAAGACATTAGGATTCAAGTTTCAAACTCAGATAACCTCAGTTTATGCCTTAATATTTTATGGCCTCCCATCAGTTCATTTAAGTGGACAATTTATGTAACTATGACAGGTGCAGTTCCACCTCCGTTGAGACATGAACACAGCCGTTCATGGGCACCCCCACCAACTTCAGTCACACAGGGCAACTCCTCAGGCAGTGGGGAATTCTGTTCCACCAACAGACTAACACTCCTGTCACCAGAAATGTCACTGCCATCTAGGTTCCATGGGAATTACGTCACCTCAGCAACTGGCTCAGTGCCAGATGAGCCCTGTAACATTTTCCCCTTTTAAATTCCTCCATGTCCTCTACAGCAATCTCAGTCACAGGTAGACATCAGTCACTATGATCTACATTATGGCACCAAAATGGTAAGTGCAGATATGCCACATTGGGAATCAAACACAGCTGTTCATTAGCTTTAAAGACAAGTGATAACAATCACAACAACAACAGACAAAATATTCTTCAACATTCTTTTTACACAGATGCAGTTTTTATTTTTTTTATGATGACAAAGAAAATATGCTAGGCATTAGGTATATATTAGAACTAGATCCTCATTCTTCTGTATGCTTTCTTTATTAAACATCCTAAAAACTTTTACCTACAAAAACAAAATTCATCCATTTTCTAACTGCTCTATCCAGTCCAGGGTCATGGACGAGCTGGAGCCTATCCTGGCAAGTGAAATATTCACAACATATTCTAGCCAATAAAGTATAATCTATGCAATATACAGTATCTATTGTATGTATACTTGTATGGTGTGTTATTTTTGGTATTTTTGAATATAATACTAACTAAATTCAGAAATAAAGAATTGCATACTTTATTAGTATCTCCATTGTACATTACAATTTAGAAAATTTCAACTTTAGGGCATATTGTTATTTTAAAAACTATGTGTTCACCTGAAATGTCAGATTGTACATTTTGATTGTATGATGTACTGAGAAAAATTTTAAAAGTTAAAGTAAAGTATACTTATACTAAAGTATTTTATTACAAATGAAGTTACAATAACTTGACACTCACTAATTTGAACATTAAATAAAAGTATTTCATTATCAGTAGCATTAAAGTATTTTCTCTTCAGCTTTAGCAAAAAAAAATCCTATTAGCAATGACTAAATGGGAAGGCTAACCCAGACCATTTGGTAATTTGTGTTAACATCTGACCCCATTAAATCTTTCCAGATCAAAAGTTTTAAAACCCCACCTCATGTGCATATCTGTCATGATGCTGTTCAGAAACTCAACAAAAATCAATGGCAAAATATAAATCCATTTTAAACCTAAGATAAAAAGAAAAAAAGCTATATTTTGCTCTTAAAGGTTATCATTTTGTTTATGTCCCTGGTTCAAATGTAGTTCAGTTGCAAATGAAATGATTTAAGGTGACCTCTTCCTGTGCATTTGGGGGTGAGTAGTTCACATTCCACCACACATCTGAAAAGGTTTGTCTATGGATTACCTATGGTTTCCTTAAGTTTTCTCTTTTCTGGCTTGCTTATTTAAAGAGATCATTCAGACTAATCAAATAAAAAGAACCTGAAAGTAAAGTGATATTCCAGGCACTTAAATTGTATTTATGGCCCATTTAACTTATTACATGCACACTTAATTTGTTCTGTGCAAAGTAACTGATTTGATAATAAATCACATTATCAAATGACCGTCAAGAGAGAATTATCAAATGAATGCTAAGACAGGATTTTGAAAGGTACCTTAAGCACTTACTCTTGCTGTGAACAATTTGCCTTTCCTTCCAGCTCCAATTGTAGAGTTTTTTTTTGTTCTTCTGTACTTGATAGCTGGTTTCTGCACACCTTCCTCTTGTGTCTTTTTTAAAGGAATTGATGATGAAATTCTGGGAGCGGGCATGGGAAAACTATTTACATTTATTGTATACAAATTGAGTTTAAAATAGGTCTGGAGGAGGTCAAATTCTAATCTTGCCACTTCACCTACAGTATCTCCATATTGTATACATATCATGCTTTATACTTAGAGTATTCACTTGTGCATTTTGTTTTTGCATCTCTCCCTCCTCCTCAGCACTATCTCCCTGACTTCTTATTTATTAAAGGGTTCTAGTAGAGTTCTAAAAGCTCCTTCCTTAAGGACAGGGTTTCAAGCTCCTCAGCCCAGTAGGTTACGCCAGTAATCTAATTCACAATGTGAATCACATCTCTTCACCTTAATTAGAGTTTGACAAAACTACTCAACATACTATGCTGTGGCCACGAAACAATCATTGTATAGCATGTTGTGTGAATAAGATAATTTTTAGTCACAACACAGTACACAAGATACTGTACACTTGTAATGGTCAAGACATAATTATGTCATGTAAATGACTTCTTTTTTAGTCGCCACTGGATCATGTATGCGTCACTTATCCTTGTCCTAGACACTACACACTTTTTTTCTTAGAAACTGCAATATAAGAAATGATATACAAAAGCATTATTGTTGTCCAAAATCTCTTTTGTGCCTTAGACTCTTAAAATACAAAGACTGATGTCTGGAGGTGGTTGTTGGGGTGGCTGGGGGGAATAGCAGTAGGCTATGGACCCCTGGAGGTTTTTCGCCTTTGTTTGTTCATCTACATCTGTGCCTAAAGGCTTTGCTTAATCAATAATGTATAAATGTTTCTTTAAGTTTCCTTCTTTGTAATTTTAGCTTTCAGTAGGTGGCTGATTGTAGAGCTTAGAATTTCTGATAAATGTATTATTCCTACAGAATTATCTTTATTTCATGTTGGTCTTGGTTTGTCCTCAAAATTGTATACAGTAGGTAAAGAACTGAATTGCTGCCCACTTCCCCACTAGGTAATACAGTATGTGTAAATGGCAGAAGGTATTTTAGCCATAGTGATCGAACAAGGTCTCTGGGACACTCTCTTTATGTAGTAGAATCCATACTGTTACTAAATCAGTAAGAACAGAGACACAAAAGCTGCAGTAGCTATCGTACCGGGACTGATTATTTTATTCTTCTTTGTGCATAATAAGAAGCCACCATGTTTTGCTGAGTCTTCATCTAGACCAGTGGTTTTCAAACCCGGTCCTGGGAAAACCTTGTGTCTGCTGGTTTTCATTCCAGCTGGGATCTAAGTCTCCAGTGCTAATAATGACTTAATTAATCTGCTTGCTTGTTTAGATTTTGTCTTTAACTTATTTCTTCAGTCAGTCCTGAGTGTCAAAGATACCCTATTTCAAGGGTAAGATGTAAACATATAAATATGCACAAATATAAAATAGAAATCAACTAGCCCGTGATTAATAACTCGGCTGGAGCATAAACCAAAACGACACAGTGTTTCTTCAGGATTCGGGCCTTTCTGTACCTTGGACCTTGTCACAAAAAAGTCAGATTTTGAAAATACAGTTCTTTATCATCTTAGTAAGATTCCCAAAGTTACACTGCCAACCTTTTATTGAAATTTTAACAATATATAAACATTTTCATTAATTAAATCAGCATAAGCTTATTGAAAAATAAAATGATGTTTTGGAAACAGCTATTCAGAATAACTGTCTGAAAATATTCTAAATCAAGGCCACAAACCCAGTAAGTGCATTGAGACAAAGGACTCAGGCATTGCATGTTATTCTCAACTTGGTAAAAAAAAAAACACTGTATATCACACTGATTTACAGTGTTTAAAGCAGACACAGAACTACTTGAAGTACCAATGCTAGTTACTCTGAATAGCTCTGGGTCTGACCTTTTACATTACCATCACAAGAGCTGGTGGTTCTATAATAAGAATTTCTGGGGTGGCTGTGCATTGTAATGGCTAAATTATCACATAGAGCTTCACCGCTACTGTTTTCATTTCACTTCCTAGCTGTGGAAATGTGATTATGCGTTGTAGTGAACAAATATAAATGCAGACAAAATCTGTCACTTAATATTTTACATCAGAAACTGAATGTTCAGACTGGTTTAATATTGTTGAAAAATGATACAACAATTATTTGTGATTTAAGTCAGAAATATACAGCAGAAATACAATACATACTGTAAGTTAACATTCCACAAGAATGTTAAGTACATTGACTCTTAAGCATTTATTCAACTTACCAAGGGTGGGGTGTCTAAATGAAGTTATTTATAAGTTAAATGTAAATTAACTAAAAATATAAGCAGACCTTCTGAGAAATATTAATGGTCTAATGGTGCTAAAAGACAGGAGTTCAAAAGATACCGAACACAATCAAATGCATTAAGACAGGGAAAGTACCTCAATATTTTGAAGGTCTGTAAAACCAAAACTATAATAAATAACATTGTCACAAATGTTGAATACTTAGTCTACACAAAATAAATGAACTTCAGATTTGTACAGTATAAAAAATAATCAAACATATAACATATAGTTTTTGTTAAATATAGTCTGCTCTCCAGAAACCTGGATTTTCGAGTTCAGTTCTCATATTTGCATTTTTAATCCTTTTGCCAACATGATCAGAAGGAGTGATTTAGTGGTTTATCACAGACCCATAGGCACCTTTTTATCTTTATTACTTTCACAGATATAAACATCTAAAGATATCTGGTTAAATCAAAAACCCACATTGAAGAGCCAGGTTTTAGGAGAACAGGTCATGAACGTATCCTTTTGGTTTTAGATCAAACTTATGAATTCAAGCAAAACGTTTGAACTTCTAACAAATGTACTAAAGCTATACAGTAAAATCCATTTGAATATTTACATTTATTCAGCATTAAGGATGTATCATCATGCATTATATTACACATGTATTGTCAAAACAGGGTCCAGAACCATAATACCTTGCATATGGTCCACAGTCACTTCAGAAGTATACTTAAAGTGTATGATAATGAATTTGTAAGGTATGCTTTATCTTTAAAAAGTTCCATTTTAAACACATAATGAAGGTAATGAAGTTCAATATTGTCTTTGTGTTTTAAAAATCAAAAGAATACTGGCTACAGAAAAGGTTTTATGTGTCAACAGCATCAGGCTTGTGGTCTGGATGACGGGTGTGATGTCTTCTGTTTCTGCTTTTCTTACTTTCTTGCACGTGCTTCCATTTTCCTGAGGAGCCTTTGTTTTTCTGACGCCTTTTCTCCCTGTACCACATTTGTTCGCAGTACTCATCAATTGTAAAGAGAGGGTTATTTAACAGCTGGAGATAGTCTTTGTATCTGTAGCGAGGTTCCAATGTGAGACGCGACTCTGCTATGGCGTCTTGTGTGCGTGACACCTGATCCTCTGATTTGGCCTGCTTGTTTTCCATTTGGCCATTCTCAATTATTTTCAAGTTCAGCCTGAGTATAGTGTGGCTGAAAGTATGTTCCTGTGCAACGCAATAATAAGTTCCTGCATCCTTCTTGTGGAGTGAACGAATCAAAAGGCCCAGCTCTGTCTTCATTATTCTTTCATCAGGCTTTACCTGCATACAAAGTGGATAAATATATACAGTATATAAATCTGGTACCTCCATGAATTTGTTTTAAATCATTCCCTCCCAAATTGCAGCCTTCTATCTGAATTTTAAATAGAGGCACAAATGGTTCATTACCACAGAAAACAATCAGAAGGTGGCTCTTAAACTTAGAATGTAGCCTTCTTAGGTCTTGACTAAGAGTTGGTGAAAACAAAAGATAATACTACTTACATTAAAGATTCAGGAATTTAAATTGAGTAGCATGCAACATAGGGTTAGTGTGTTAATGATCATTATAATGAGAAACAAATTGAAGTGACAAAGGGGAAACAGCCTCAATGCTTTCAAAGGTCAACACAGTGCACTGAATGTCTTTTACATTAAGATGGCATAAGGCAGATGATCAGGACATGATGGCATCAGGTAAAGGTCAGCTCCCTATGAACTACATAAATGGGCTGTTTAAATAGCTCCTTCTTTACAAATTAATCACATGTCATGGTGCTGTCAAAGCTAAAACAATACATCTGCTAAAGAGGGGAAGATGAAGCTTCAAAGCATACTTCACTTCACCGTCTGAAGTGAAAAATAGACCACAGAGAAAGATTTAGAGAACAATAGATTCATTTTTTTCTTCTGAATTCCTTCTGTTGAAATACTCAAGCAAATAAGGGTCAATATTCAGCACATCCTTACTAAACAGTTGCCAGCTTCTGCCATCTAGTTAGCTACAGTTTACTTAAGAGATGATTTACTCTAGAGGTTAATTTTATTTTTCCAGTATATTTCTCCAGTATATTTGTCTTCACAAGTTGCAGGATTACAGATCCCACAGAAACTTTTGAGGATACACAACTGTGTAAAAAGCTACTTAAGAAGACTAACATGAAGTTACTAATTTTGTTTTAGCAGGCTATGTCTTTGGCAAAGCATTAGAAGCAACATAAAACTTAGCTTTTTTCGGTGAGAAACATTGTTTCTACTTTCATTTATTTTACAACTACATAAACAAGTACAACATCTACAGTATTTTTGTATACTTATAAGTGAAATGCCAACTTTTGATTATGGTTTTACATTGTTTTGAAATAAAGTACATTCGACTCAAGACTCAAGATCATTCTTCCTAGACTAAGTAGTATCTGGACTCAAAGGCTGAATTATTTATTTCTGTCCTAATTGAATAATAGGTTGACACTGCACAAATACTCAGCATAATGCAACATTTTAATGTATACATTAAGCAAATAACTAAATGAATAAATTAATTTGCCTTGCTAAATTTCAAAGGCAGTGGGGGTGATCTGATTTTTTTTCTTTGTCAAAGGTCATCAGTTTAACTTATAAGGCAGCCACTTTTCCCATTCATTAGGCAAACACAATTAGTGATTTTGATAAATTCACTCTGAGAGTGCTGACTTAAGTGTTAAATTACACAATAGGTTACACTGGACTGGAGCTCTGTTATCATTAATGTAGATGGTTTGGCTCAAGATTGTGTAAATCACTACAACTGAGCTTCATTCTAGAGGGAAGTATGCTTTCAAAGTAGCAGAATGGATAAGATGAAACAAAGAAAAAAATATAAGGACAGTTTATCCTTTTAAAATATTTACTCCAGTCATTACCAAATAATAGTAGATTAGTCTTACATAACATAATTTACTTTTTAGTTGTTGTTCAAAATTAGCAGTAACCTTTGATTTAAACTTATTGCTGTTTGCCTTAGGATTATATTGTCTTAACACTAAACCAAATGATAGATAATATGTTTGTGCTTTATCTTTTGAATCAGAAATTTATGTTACTTAGCTGGGGAAGCCTCCAAAGACCCTCATTCATAAATGTTCAATCTTCAAACCTTGATGTTTTCATTTATTTGTTTAATCTTTTAAACACATAAGGACAAGATAAAGAGACAATTACAAAAAGTGCTTTTCTGGAAAATTAACATTTAACATTGGGTTGGTCTGCCCATTGTTTTACTGCCTTTTTCAGAAACTGTGCCACTGTTTCTCATAGGTTCTGACACATGTCTGTTAATCTTCATAGAAAAGACTGGGGGAAATTAAAACGAGCTGCTCAATTTCAATACACACAGTACAGCAGCATCTACTTGTCCAAAAGTCGCCCTTTCACTTAAGACAAGGCATCTGTGACTAAAGTATAATGACATGAAACATGCCAAGCTGTATTTTTATACAGAGGTCTCTATTGCTGCCTTGTAATCTAGTTAAGCAAAGTTTATGCTGTTAATTAAAAATCATAGTGTGATATAAAAAAGAAAATGCATTGGTGTTTTCAGGAGAGGTAAATACTATTACTTAATTTGTTGGAAGCCATGCTTAGATAAAGGTCACTCCTGCCATTACATAAATCTTTTAAACATATTAGAAGTCTATAAAAATTTGCAGTAAACCCAGTAGGTCAAGCATTTCATGCACTGGCAGGACCAGGTATGTTAGTAATTAAGGGTAATATATTACCCCTTTGATGGCAAGTAACACATTTTCTGAAATCGGAAAGTTCTTAGGGGTGCAGGTTCCCTCTACTGGTTGAGGTAAGACCCATCATGAAATATCAAGTAGTTATCTCAGTGTTCTGATCTGGGACTTCACACTCAAGCAGATGTCACATAACACAACTATTTTTGTACATTCCAGGAAGTCCAATCACTCTATAATTTACTGGCTACATCTTTCTTTTTTATCTAGTTCTTTGTTCTGCAATGCATGCTTACGTGGTTCCCTAAGGCTTAGTGCTTCCATTTCACACCTTACATGAAATGCAGAACATAGGGGCAGAACTTGAATCTGGAGATTCTCTTTACTTTATGCATATACTGTATATTTAGCTTCTCATATAAACTACTAGTAATCAGTTCTAGATCAGTATCTAGCAGACAAAACATACCTGTGGAAGATGAAAGCATGATGTTTGGAGTATATTCTTAGTGGGCTCCACTATCTTGGGTGACTTTCAAAACATATATGGAAATACCTTGTACTTATACACTAGATATTCTGTATGAAATTTCCAGTAACAATCATATGCACACCACACAAGCCAACAAAATGCAAAATAAGGCCAGCACAATTTGAATCTGGCCTCTAAAACCCACAACCTTCAGTTGATCCATGATTCATTTTAAGTACAGAACTGTTTGGAGATGTTTCCTAATAAGTCTCAATGACACCCTGAATGTCTCTGCTCAAAGAATAGTGGGCACCATTTTTCACATAACAGAGGAGTGTTGAGATGTGGCCATGTTCCCTGTGGTCTATGTCCCTCGATTTGATCTACTGTTCTGGTGGAAAACATTCCTTGTTCTATGGTTGTTCTATGTTTTTATTTTCTTTCGTCGAATAAAGATACATCAATATAGTTCTCAGTGCAGCCGAGGCAGATGTGGTGTGCTGACATGCTTTGTGGATGGTCACACTATTTCCTGACATCCATGGGTCCTGTCCTTTCATGATGTCATGCATATTAAACACTCCATTGTGATGTCATGCATATTAAACACCCATGAATGTGTATGACTGACGGTCATCAGGATTTAGACAGAGAGGGGTTTACCACCTGGGTAGAGATAAAGATCTGGGGGTAGAACAAAGGAAGAACATACTGAAGGTATACCTAGGGAAGGTTATGGGAAAGATGTGTAAGAAGCATGGTGGAAATTGTGGTTCTAGATTATCTTATTCATTTTATGTTGATTTTTCCCTCCACAAAACTAAATAAAAGTTAATTAGAATAATAATAACCAGAAAATAGAGATGTGAATTACTAAATGGAAACATTCAAACTTGTATTTCTCACAAAGCTTTGGTCATAAAGAAAAAGGTAATAAAACGGGGTTGCTAGGCCTTAGAAAAATAAAGTTGGTTTTACAAAACAAGTCCAACAACTAAAATGGGTGAGAAAAGTGTAGGCGCTGCTGTGCATATTTTAACACTATGGAAAGGAGTCTATTATGGTGTCTGAAACAGCAGAATGACCCACTGACAACCCGAATTCCAGTAAAGATCTCGTCTCCTCCCATATGCTATTGAGAGACAGACAGGGATTTAATGCCAAGACCTAAAAGGTGACAAAAAGGAGACGCTCATTGAGCCAACTGTTTCTGATGTGGCCTTCTGATTCCCTTCCCTTTCCTTCCTTAAGGAAATGTGTCATAATGTATCGAAGGCAATCTTTCAGGCTAAGACTGCGTCATGAATACTAAACAGTTACAATGGGTCTCTGTCAGCATTCACTATATTGGTTAAATAACTGAAACACTTTGTAAAGGGCACTTGATCAGAATTAATGAACTAACTTATGTATATATGTACTAAAAATGCTGTATATATATATGTTGTGCACACATTTAAATATATGTTATGTCTTTGTAATGTATTTACTTATCTGTTTGCTGGTACAATTGTTTTACAAGAAAACAAAATGCATTTGATAAAAGATCCTAGGTTCTGAAGTTTAGTATGCCATTTTGTATGATCAGTAATGCATTTTTATTTCTATACATTTCTATAAGAGGAATTTCTATACATCTTCTTTAAATGTATACCGGAACACAGCAAAGAGAACTGGTATTAAATCAATATATATAATACTGTGCTATTTTGATCTAGTAACCCTTTATCTGGATTATTTAGGGCATAGAAATGGAAAAAAAAGGAGTCTAGGGAGAGAGGAAATGGATAATCACACATAATAAATAAAGAAAGTTGTGCAAAATGAAAGCTACAGCAGCATTCCTTCACATTTTACGATGAAATTGACCATAATTTCAGGATATTACACTAGGCTGGTGCATTTTATAAGAATGTCATTAAATCCCTGCAGTTCAATTCCATATGGCTTTTCACCGAAATAAAGATATGCTCCTTGGAAGCAGTGATCCCAATACTTTGCAATTGAGTTGCTATTAATTAATTCAACAATCAATAACAATGACAACCTTCTGCTCAGTAAATGGCTCAATCCCTTAACATAAAGGAAGTGGTTATATCCCATGACTATTAATCACAGATGACTGGTAGTCCACAAGTGACTACTACTACATTTTTGATGTCAGAGGGACAGAAACATTAATTTCAATACAGGAAGCATTACTGTAGCAGACATGCCATTAAAAACACAGGATTCTTCCATATAATATTACACTATGAAGATTGATAAGAATACGTGGCAATTTTAAAGAGTGAACATATACCCGAGTCAGCATAATCTTGAAAAAACAGCAGAGGTAAGATGATTGGTGCACATTGGCACAAATTCCTCATTTAGATCATCATCTTCCTTGTTTTGCTGTTGTAGACAAATTTTTACATGCTCCCTAAAAATGTATATGTAAACAATGCTAGTTGTCAAATTATTATAGGATTTCTAAAAATATTAAATGAAAGATGAAAAAATAGAATAAAGGGGCAATAGTGCACTTTGAGAGATTACTTTGGGAAATTATTATAGTTCTTCCAAGTTGTTGCCATTTTTAAACAATGCATTTACTTCATTCTGCCATGGATTATATTAAAGTTTGCTATATCTCCCCATGTTTTATCATGATTTTACTGTGTATTAACATATTGTACTGTTATTTTATTTTGAAAAAACATTTAAACCGTAAGATTGTGCACCATTATTTCTTTCCAAACAGCTTAAAGTAATCAATTTTATAATGCAATTATTATTTTAAATCATTAACTATTTCTGCTCTGTTTTTTTTTGACAATACTATCATGCCATTACTGGGCACCACTTTACCAGAATACCTGGAGAATACTATAAAGAATGTAACTTAGACAGGGAGAAGACCCATGCTAAAGGGACTGTAGAAGGCATGACAATGTACATAAAATGTTTACTTCCCTTGTATTCTACACATGATGGTTTGGACTCTCTGTAATACATGGTGCAGTGGCTCTGTGGCTAAGGATCTGTGCCTGTGGCTGGAAGGTTGCTGGTTCATATCACATGGTCGGTAGAGGAATCCTACTTCACTGGGCCCCTGAGAAAGGCCCTTAACCCCAACTGCTTTATAGGGGTGCTTTATAAATGACTTACTCTGTGCTCTGACCCCAAGCTTCTCTCCCTGTCTGTGTCTCATGGAGAGCAAGTTGGGGTATGCGAAAAGAATTTCCTAATAGAAGAAATTGTATATGGCCAAAGTGATCTTATCAATCTGTTGTTGTTTGCACCCAGGTTTTGCTATTAAGTGCTGATAATTCACCTCCAACAAGTCCAAACTGATAATTTGATAATAACTGATAAACTCATAATACATGCCTAGCTATGCTACCACAATAAAATAAAATCCTGATGCATGCAAAATTCCTACAGTCCTGGAATTCCTGCAATGTAAGCTAATATATATATATATTGTCCTGAATGTTTGGTCTTTGAATAATGTTTGGTCAGCTCTTGGTGCTAACAGCACTGAGCCAATCCCTATATACAGTAAGACATTTGTTTAAACTGTAGAATAAGTAAAAGTTTAGTATGTTATCATGCCTCAGAATATATTCCTACACTTACAGAAAAGCAGAAGAGAACTTATTTAAGTCTAGAACATAGAAGATCACAACACCAAACTTCTTTAGATTGAACGTTGAAACAAACACCAGAGGGCACAAGTGGAAACTGCTGTACATGGAATTACATTAACAAACTGAGAACACGAGGTTCTTACCCATCGGGATGTGGGAGTATGAAAAACGCTGCCGAGCCATAGTGTTGCAGCAGTATCCTGGCTTCTTTCAAGAAATGCTGAATGACATCCAGTCCAGTAACTAGCTACTAACTAGTAAACTGGCTAAATGGGTCAAATGGCCTCATGTTATTTGTAACTGTTCTTAATCAGAACCTTATTTTTCCTTATGCCATACATATATTACACATACATATACACACAAGCCATTAATTTAATGATAGGACAACCAAACAAATCCACAGAGTAGAAAACTCAGACATACTGTAACTGTAAGTAATCATGAACCTTATATGTTCTGCAAAATATTCATACCTAAAGCATAGTGAATATACTGTAACTCAAACTGCTAGTGTGATTTTAAATACAAACATATGGACAGCTCCATTACATTCTGGCTGTTGGGGATATGCTTTCCACTTCAGAGAATAATAAAAAAGCTCTCTGTCTTTTGAAGTTTCAGCACCTGTCTTTATGTTTGCATTCTTTTAAAAGCAGAATAGTGGTGATATTGAATCTGCTGACTAGGCTCATCTTTGTCAATCCATTCTGTAGATGTACGTCAAGCTAGAGATCAGCAAGCATTTCTTTACACTTACTTTCCGTGTGCCTGAAGAAGTTTGCTGTTTCTGCTATTGGTCATTCATCACCTCTTTGTGAAACAAAGAACACTGAAGTGACCAGTTGCCAGATAAACCAATAATGAGTTCAACTAAAGCCGAATATGCAATTATAGCTAAGTATTAAATTACATATTAATTTTAAATTAAATCAGACAAATAGTTTTGATCTCACAAAAACATAAGAAATACATGATTTGCTGCACATTGTTTTATGAAAAGTTGCTTTCCAGGTATTTTTTTTCTTTTTCAGAGACTAGTGAAAAGGAATGACAGAATTCCATAAATATCACATGATACTGTTGTGGAAAAAAAAACATTATCAGAAACTTTGCCAAATGGAATATCAACTTCAAAAGATGTTTTCTTTAACAAAGAGATGCAATGAAAAAATGCAAAACTGATCTCACTGAAAACTATATGTACACACACATCGGCATTTCACTGGCAACAGCAAAAGCCAAACAGGACATACTATATTCCTTCGAGATCTGACCTAGAAAAAGGTTATCACATCAGTGGAAGACACAAATAGCCAAAAGGATAAATCTTTATGTGTTGATTATTTTATAACATTACATTTCAATTAAGATAAGGAGTGTGTGTGTTGGGGGAAGTATGGAGAGAGAAAGACCAGACACAGAAAGAAATGAGCATGGTCCAAGAGCATATATGTATGAAAGTCTATTTTTAAAAACCGAAAATAGATTTGGATTATTATTATGGCATTAGCAGTGGCATTAGCAGTACAGTAGTTGAACCAGTAGTAGGAGCCACACTAAAACATTATCATATTTTAAACATTATAGTTAACAAAGTTAACTACAGTATATAGTTCTTATAGTTAACATTTCTGTCAAAAAAGGGACAATTAAAAATGACCGAAAACTGTCACAAGTTGAAAGTTTACATAGTATTTTTATTATTGTTTAAATTTCCTCTTAATACATACTGTATATATTTCTGTGTAACTAATTATAAGAAATCTGAATAAAGCTATGCCTTTGTAGTAGGAATATTCAGCACATTGTCTATTCACTATTAATGACTGGCAATAATGTGTGCTAAGGATGCATTTACTTTTTAGCTAATCTTTCTTTAAGCATTCAACTAACTATACAACAAGAGGCCGGAACAATTCTTAAACAGAGCCTGCAGCCATTCAATTCTCAATGGTTAAATCGACCAAGAAGTTTTACAGGCAGACTTGGAAACTCCCAATAGTCGTATGTCCAGGTCATGGTTTCAGAAATCCCCTTGTTTAAGAATAGTATTTAAATGGCTAGCAGCCAGGCATCTTGGTTATCTGATCTCATTTATTCTGCACTTAGTTGCATGACCACCTTGAAATTATAACCCTAAATATCCAGGTGAGGAGAAATCCTAGAAAGAGTTATATCTTATTATTCACAGCTTGCGGTCATTTTAATAATATGGCGCCCTGCCAGAAAAAAAAAACCAAGATCCTCCAAAAAACTGACATCCGAAACATATTTTTCAAAATGCTACACATTACAGTAAAAAATGATACAATAGAATTCGAAACCTCCTTTAGGAGTAAATTGCAGTGCCCAGTCAATAATAAACTGACAATGTTTCAACTACTGATTCTGATTATTTCAGATGTTAAGGTTGTGTGCCTTTTTCTCAGAGTTGGCACATTTATTGGCATTTAGACAGGGTTGTCCCAGCTGCCAGTTTTTATGTAAAGGTCAATCTTTCAGGCATTCATAGAGGAAGGCAAATGCACTGGTGTGAAGTACATGGGAACACCTCAGACACCTCAGAGTTATACTATTTCACTGTGCTTGTAGTTCGATAGTATACAAATCGGTCATTGCCCATGGTACTGTATATTATAATGCATATAAAGTTTTCTTAAAAAAAACAGAAATGCGGTTCTCTCGCCTACATCTCCAATATTAAAATTGCCACAAAGTTAGGTCTGAGTGCCACAAATATTGCAAAAATGATACTGACTTTTAACATACACTTTGCTTGCCTGGAATACTAAGAAAACCTATTTGTGCTGTATTTTATTATGCAAGTGGACCATTGCAGAGGTGAGTGCAAACTTGCTTGTGCCACTGTCCTGCACCTCTCCAGTTCTGCTCTTCTGTAACCACTATTTCAGTGCTATGGCTTGGCAGATTACAGGAACTAATAGTGCTGCAAATAAAATGTGTCAAAAATGGGAGACCACAAAAGAGACCACACACACACACATTCCATGAAAGAGCTAACAAAAACAGTACTTGTTCACAGAAAAATATCCAAATGCATGCAATGCTTTAGGACAGAAAACCAAAACCAAGACCCAACTACTAATTTAAACAGAATTTTATAATAGAACTAAGGTAGTTAAAAGTGACCCTTGCCAGGATATGGTTTTATGTTTTTGACTGCTGTGTGCACAACTTAGGAAGAAAAATGTTTAATTTAACTGAAGGGTGAAAAGCGATATTACCTCTTCCCGATGGTCAGTCCCAGACCTTTGCAGAAACCACCTGATGTATGCCTGCTGAGACTTTGGGATGCATTCCAGGAAGGTTGAGTTATGTTCAACACCAAACATGAGCTTTTCTTCAGCATACTGATTACCCATAGCTAGGGGGGAAAAATCATATTCAGTATTTTACACAAATAGCTGTTTCAATACATAGAACATCCTGTCTTTTAAACTAATGAAGAATGTATAACAGATGTGTTCTTTTTGTTGGGGCCTTATTTGTTAAACAAGGTAAAAATTAAATATCAGTAATGCAAATATTAATATTTTATCCTTTTACTATACATAATATGCAATTCAGTGTAATGCCATAGACAAATTACCTTAATTATTTACCTTTAAGTTTTTTTAAGGGCCAACAAAAATACTTACTGTCCTCTAGATCCCAACACTGGCTTGAAGGATCGCCATGTTTTATGTCTTGCCTTCTAGCCCGTCTGCAGAAGCAATACCAGAGACAATACTGTCAGATTATTAAATCTTCTTCCTCATTAACATAACATGACTTGCTTCTTAATATGTTTAATATAAATGGGCTGCAATAGATCCACATTTTTTTTCTATTTCTGTGGTCTGCAAGAGTCAAAGTAATTTATTTATTTTCATTTTGTACATTTCAAGTTTTATAGATTTGGAGATTTTGACAGGTAAGGAACTAACATTCGATCTTTTTAAATTCTCTGCACATATTGAAGGGAATGTTGTTTTACTGTTTTTGAAACACAAAACAAAGTAACTAAATAATGGTCTTATCAGTGTCATAATTGTGTTGTTTTAATATTTTAATTGTATTTTTCTCTCTTAAATTCTGTTCAATTCAGAATATTTGTTAAACTGCAGAATTTCCTCTTTTTAGGTTAGGTTTCCTGAGCATATGCTTGTAAGATATAGAGCAGGAATGTTAAGAGCTCTGCAAGTGTTAGTACATGTTTTATTGTTTTAAACTGTTATTGAACCCCCAGGAAATATTCCTACATATGTCTAAAAAGTATGTAAACAATGTACGACAGTAGTAAATTTGAATCCTTGTAAAACAAAACATTAAGATATTGTTATTTGATATATTCTGTTTCTCTTGTACACGATTCATTATAAGGAGAACCTCTCATTTTCATCAGATTAAATCTCCTCCTCACATGCTCTACTGAGAACAGAAATAAAACCTTAAAGCCTAGAAGAGTGGCCAAAGGGAATGTCAGTAACATAGAGTGAAACAGAAAGCTTCAGTCCCAGAAACATCAATCTACTGGTGTAACATTACACGATTTCTGAAGTTCTTCAAACAAAAATAATTCAAAAACTGACAATTTACATCTGGCTACACTACAAAAATAGATAATTTACATCCAATTCAAATGCAAGCTTCAGGGGCTCTCTTTACCATCCTGTTCTTTGAAGGAATAATGAACTGATAGCGAAACTGAAATTAGGGAGTAACATGATTCAAGTCACTGACAATTTTCTTTTTTTCTTAATGAGGCGGTCTGACTCTTCACCTTTTAGGTGCTGGGACATATCTTGAACAGGAATATCCATCCCATGCACAGTAGGGATCTCTTGCAAGACAGCACTCAGCACAGACCTTTCCATAAATGTTACATCTGTGCAGAGATACTTGTACAAGGCCATCTCTGGAACCAATATATAACTGTTGCTAAAAATAACAAAACAAAATGTCATTAGACATATGCAGTGCAATGACCTTCTTGAAATGGTTCCATGCATAATCAAAGGTGGAAAAACAGATTTCTGTGACCTGAGAATATAAGTATTACAAGAATCTTACCAGACATACTGTAATAAAGTCTGCCTTTGTTCTCTGTTTTGATTTATGATAGCCCCACAGAGATTTAGACACACCATCGCTGAGCTGGTTAAAAATCCAACTGTCTTCTGCCTCTAATTCCAGCTCAGCCCTCAGAGACAGCATTGAGCTTGAAATGTTGCTAACTTTTCCAAATCATTTTAAGTACCTAAATGGTTACAGGTACATGAATATTTACAAGCAACTTGAAGTTGCCTATAATTTCGGAGCTCAAAGTAATTTTATGGTCCAATTAGCAAGTTATTGGTTCATTTAAGAGCTCAGTGTACATTAAGTACGGTACCTGAAAGCACAGCTGGAATAAAACCCACAAGCAAATCGGGTCATGAGGATCAGACTTAGGGAAGCTTACACTGTGGGTTTCCTTCAAAGACTTGCAATTGTATACAATATATAATAATTAAAATTAATAATACAATGTGATAATGTACCAAGATCACTGAATTGTCTTAAATCCCTTTATTTATATATTTTCTTTGAATCTGGCTTTTAGTTGTTCAAGGGTTACATACTGTTGCAGTCATTCAGACCACAGGTTGAGCCCTACACTCCAAAATCTCTCCAGCTGGATTTTGTCATTTAACAACAGTGACCAGGATTGTGCAAGCTGCAATGTACAACATGCTGTGTTCTGGGTAAGCTGGATACAAATTGGCCAGAGTATCATGATTTGCCTCATAACAGTGACTCCCTTGGGTACCTGCAAGTATTTGTCTAAGACCTGTTTGCCTTGTCTTGGTTCAAAGGTTGTAGCAATGAACTGAGATGATTTACAATTGGAAGTTCCAAGAATGGAAAAAAAAACAATGAATGACTCCAAATTGAAGATGAAAAAAATACAAACAGAATAAACATTATATGATTTAGTCAATGTACTCTTGTCTATCCAATACATATCCTAGTACGACTCCTGAATCCAAGCCCAGGTACTCATAGATTTCAGAAATAAATGCACTTATATTATGACAGATAAATGTGTTATGTGAATCACTGTCCAGTTTAAAAACATATTAATATAGCAGATAACAATTTAAGTAATAAGGAAACTGTTAAGATAGGGTTAACTGGAAGAATGCCTTCCCTATTGTACCTTTCTACCTATTTGTAATTTGCTAATACATTGTTATAAATTCATTTCTTTACTCACTCTTTATGCTCAGGATAGTATATTCAATATATCCTACTATGTTATCAAAACAAAAGCCCATATTTTAGGTTATTAGCACATCCTCTAGCCCTTAAGTATTAGTGTTGAACATTAAGTTTTTGGGATTCTCTATTGTATTAACATTGTATCTCCAACTGACCCTGACCTTTCACTGAACTTCTTCATCTAGGAGAGTTCTATGTGTGGGGAGGCTTTTCATCCTGTGAGATTTATAAAAACACCCATCCCGCTGCTCTTTTGACAGAAGTGAGAATGTTTTTCCGGCTCAGGTGTCACAGTTCCATACTGGTACAGCCTATCAGTTACAAATGAGCATTTTTATATTAACGTCTTCTGAAAGTTACAACATAGAGCATGGCAGTCCTGGCATTTTCACATTCCTCATAAAAAGACATAGATATAAAGTAAAAAGAACTCACTGCATACCTGTTTGGAGGATATCTCCATGGTCAGAATTGGTGAAGGGACCTACATTGAGTGAATAACACAAAGGAGCAGTGAAAGATCTATGGATGTGAGAAAATGCACATTATTTGGGGATCCACTACCATTTAATACTATTACATTTCATTTTATTTTTAATATTAACCCCAACAGAAGAATTAAAAATGCTTTCAATGTCAAGCTACAACTTATTTTCCTTGGAATCCTGTTTTCTATTTTCTATTTTCAAAAGGGATAAAGGAATAGCATTTCTGATTAATGACTATCCCACAATACATAATGTCACCAGGGGGGGTCTCTCTGCTCATCAGAACTCTATTTTGTTATTATTCCTTTTTTTTCATACAAACTAAATTAAATCCAGCTGGAAAACAGATAAGGTATACGTATATTGATCCAAAGGCAGGGATATGGAAAGGATAAAGAGAATATAGTTTCAGACACTGACACTGAAAGGTCTCCTGCAAAATGTGCCTCTTTCAATAGCTTCTCTGTAGAAAGGCAAGGCGTTGATTAGTTTCACTCTACTGAGCTGGCGTGAGCTGTTATGGGAATATTTGTTCTGTATTTAGATAGGGTATTAATACTTTAGTTCTGTTTGATCTGCCAATTGGTGGCAAGAGAGCTTCTGGTTACATTTTTTATGAATGTAAATGTCAAGCACTGTGTCGTTTCCAGGTAGAGAGTCAAAGCTTTCCGGAGATTCCAGTAATTTTCAGACAACGTCTTGCTTATATATCTGTCAAGTCTTGATAGATTTGCTCATCTCCTGAATAAGCCTGTTCTTGCCTGTGTTTCCTGTCCTGAAAAAAGGTATTTGGTGTTATATAATCCTGTGATGGCCCTGTTTAAAATTATTGTTTTTTTTGTTGCCGACTAATTTAATTCTGCCAGTTTAAGCCTTTGTGCTTCCCTTCTTACCTCAAACACCTGCAGCTCTTCCAGCACCACCTCTTCCGTAACCCAGTTCTCCTGTGTTATGCTTACCACTTTTAGCACAGTCCCCACATCTAAGAAACAGAAAATGGAGAAATGTTATTTACCAGACTAAGAAGTAAACATATATGCAGGATAAAAGGCTAGTTCATTAAGACCTTCTTTCAGGCACCAGTGCTTCTGGCATTATATAACTAGCGCATTGTGTGTACTAAAACTAATTTTTTAAGGTTGTATTGTATCTCTGACCACTGTGACTGTGATCTTTTGTTATAGCAGGTTGGTCTCTTTGTCTGTGTGGTTAGGGTGCAGAGAGCTCTGCCTAAAATATATATTTGAATCCAGGGTCTGACTTTACATGTTTCAGACATATGTAAAACTCTGCATTTCTGTAATGTGAAAATAATAGGTGATAGGTTCCATAAAAATAGGTTCCATAAAGGTTAGTTTTATTACCTTAGTCAACATTAGATTTTTTTTTATATGATACAGTAGCAGAGTGAGTATTGAAGAGTGTGTATTTCCAACATTTGAATTTCAGGGACATGCAACCGGCAACTTTTGAATAAATAAAAAATGTTAATAATTAAAATATAATGTATTATGAATATGTTATATGCCATATTCTTCTGAATATTACATTTTTAAAAATACCACCGCTAGCATATTTTAACTCATATAAAAAATATATATATATAAACAACATCAGTCTTGCCAAATACTGAATACAAATATTTGGTCTGGTTTCTGGGCTAAAAAACAGAACATCAAAAAGGAAGCTGGTAAAATGAACAATTGCATGAACATATGTTTTCATTTCATGACAAAAGGGCTTTGCTGACAACAGCCCAAAGTTGGTATTCCCTTTTCTCCTCATTAGAGTATTTGCCAAGAGTGTTGAAAACATGAGTGACTTGTTAAAATGGTGCACTACAGCATAACGGGATACTGCTACACTTCAAGAGTGAGATGATAACCGCTTTTAATTAAATATATTTTAGCTTCCACCAAAATAATAAGCTGATAAACATTAAAGGATGATACATAAGGTTTAAAACCATAAAGGTCAGAAAACAATCTTAGTTTTTTCCCTACCACTTATTTGATAGGATACATCGCCATCTGCTGACAGAAATGTGCTAACACACTGCAGGATTTTCCAAACAATACTGGAGAAATTCCAAGAGTGTGATACAAAACTCTGAAATTACATTAAGTAAATATCTAAATTCCTATGAGTCCTGTGTACACTACTAGTCTGAACTAAAGAAATAAACTATTCCACTAATGCATTCCTCAAATTACAAATTTTGTACAGATTACAAAAACACATTTTTGTTAAAATAAATGTGCAATATTTCTTGCCTGTCCCCAAAAACATAACAGAATACTGTCCATCTTCTGCTACAACGCGATCCACAACAATCTGGGTCAGCCTATAGTCCACATTAATCCTTGTGAATATGGGTTCTCCAGTAATAGGATATACAGGTTTGTACATCATGGGATGGTATTTAATGAAGCTGATGACATCATCAGGAAAGTCCTTTGTTGATTTGATAAGTGGATCATATGTCTTGCTTGGACACTGTAAAACAGAGGGGAATATAATTTAAATTATAATTATAATTCAATACATAAGTTCTATAAAATACATATAACATTTACCGTACTAATTAGTTTAAACATATAAGAAGTGACATTATCAATAACATAACGAACAAGCAAAAGACAAAACAAACATTTAACTTTAAAAAGTTATAGTTAAGAGCATACAGTTAATTTAAATTTTTGAACATAAGAATAAAGAAGGTGGAAAATAAAAATTAAAAAGAACAATTTTGGAAAAAATTTAAAGTGTTGCCATGTAAACATCAAAGGAAGACTGTATGTACTCTTCCCAAACCAGGCATTGGGTTAATCTTACTGCTATGGTAATCCCTAAATAAGAGCTTTCATACAGCCACTGTTCTTTTATCAAATGTTCATAGATACCGACTTATAAAATTATTGTATTTTTATGTTAAGGTCATTTACAGATACAGAACATTAACAAAGATTTTCAATACAGTGTTTATAGGCCCATCATCATGAATATGTAACACATTTTAAAACATATGTAAATGTTTCCCTCTAGTGTTCAAATATAAAACTGCAACTACAGTTAAACAAGCTGTATGCAATATTTAAAGAATAGAGTTAGCTGGTTATTAATTTCATGTGTGATTCATAAATATATGAAATTATATATGAAATGTAACTAAATAAAACTGATTATACAGACATTGTATATATATATAAAACTTCCTGACCTGTGGATTAATTG